AAGTTTGTATCCAAAACGCAGCATGTGCATCTCAATCAATTACTAGATGCCAGCTTGGATTTAGGGGAACTTGAATGTTGTATATCTTCCATCCTAGTGTCCACTTTGTGGCACATAAAAGATCTTTTTCCCAACTTAATTTTTAAGGGTCTATCTAGAATACTGACAGCAGAAAAAAAAGTTTTGTTTGTCTTTAAAAATGGCAACCAACTTTTTTTGAATTGGCTACCACTTTGAAAAATTTAGGAGCCAAGTGGCTATCAGAAAAAAAAAATTCACACTCTGCTCTAGGTGCACTGGTACTTTGTTGAAGGTGACAATTCCAATACAATCCTTTTGAATGTAACATTTGCATGTGAGTTCTACTCTACACATAGCTGTCTAACGGAACGTACTGCAATTTAAGTATACCAGTGTTACAGAAATCTCAAGGTGCAATCATAGATATAGTCTTATTTGTTGTTGTATTTATTTGAACAAATACTTGAAGAGGTTATACCCTAATCAATGTCTGTTGATCTAAGTGGAGTTCTTTTTTTATTACATTGCTTAAATGTTACAAGGTTCAAGCATGAATAAAAGCCACATTAATTGATTGGTGTTTAAGAAATGAAAAGTAGATGTTGGAGGAGTTGCTTTCATTGAAAGTGTAAAATATGATGTAGTAAAATTATGGATTCTATGTTGAAATGTTGAAAGCCAGTACATGTAAGTTATGAAAATAGCAAAAGTAATTTAACTTTTCTTCTCAAATTCATTAATAAATAATGCTGAGAAAACAAAGGAAATTACAACTGTGAAGGAGGTTTGGATATGTGACCTTAATTATCATAAAATTTGAATTTTTGCTTTGATTTTCTTCAAGAATTATTAATGGTTTGAGAAGCTATATCAAACATTTGAAAGGGTGTTTCATCTGATATTGAAACACCTCTTCCTCATGTTTGATATATTACTTAAAAATCCAATCAGGAAGGGCCATTTCAATTGGGCTTCACAATTGAGGTTTTTGCTTTTTTAGTATGTAAGTCTTTGATGGTTTGTGAAAGGCCCTAGAAATACTGGCTCCATCCCTAGGTTGCATAGCATGTTCAAAGGAATGGCTTATTTATAATACACATTTATTTGATTTTTATCTTTGATGAGTATGGCAAGTTTCTTCATCAAAAGAGAAGCTTTTATTCTAACTATATTGCTTGTCTAGCTCAGGGTGACAGGTAAAGTAAAAATTACTACCTGACCCATTTTGCTTAGAAGACATAACTTTGTCATCTTTTTCTATGAAGAGCTCTTATTTTTTTCCTGAGAGTCAGAATAGGTGCTAATATATAAAAGGGGCTGAATCAAAAAAATTTTAGCAGGCATATATTATTTGAGAAGGGCTTTGTCTTTTAATAGACATGTCAAATGAAACAGGCAGCATTAGATGTGATGATAAGAGTCACTGAACAAAACAGTTGTAAATGTAAGCATAAACTTTATTGCAACTTCTTTGCAAGAATAGCTATGAGGGTATTGTATTGAATTAGGGTAAAAACTGGGCCAATGGGTAATTGAAGTGCACAGTTGACAAGGCTTGGATTTTCAGTATTTATTAAGTGAATGTAATCTGAAGCTGTGGAAATTGCAAAATCACAAACATTAGGTAGAGATCTTTCCGTGCAAATGACATATCTGGCAGTAAAACTTACATTTGTCCAGCCTTGTGAGAACATAGAGTTATAAACTCGCCAGCATTAAAATATCCTTAGGCAAATCCTTGATCCTTAGACAAATCCTTTGTGAAAACATGCATTAAACATTTTTTACTTTCGCTTGGTGCGACACAAGACAAAACTGCTATTACATAATAACAAGACAGTCCATGGGGCCTTGCGGCCCTGAGATTAGTTTTGAGTACAGTCCGTGTGCTTGAGGTAACACAACAAAAACTAGTAAGACATGATAAGCTTATAAAGGAAATACTGTCAACTCTCTCATAAGCAGACACCTCTAAGATTTGTAAAAAGTGTCTGCTATTACAGATCTCTGGCTATGAGAGTTACTCCTGTAAGCAGACTGTCATGTTAACAACTAAAACTACACGAGGCAAGTTGCTTCAATCAACTTCTTTATTCAACTCGCTACTTACAGGATATGCTTACAATGATATAGATTGACATTAATGATCACATGATTACATACAATCCAATAAGCATACACCTGACAGCAGATGTTGCATCAACACAACACAGACACTAAGGAAAAATATGTCGGATGTCTGCATTAGTAGGTGTTAATTACATTTTATTGGGTTGTCATTATCAAGTGAAACTCTTGATTGCTGTAAAATATTAAAATTGGAAAAAAAAGAGAAATAATGTTAGAAATATACATTACATCATTTCTTCATTCAACACAAATTAAATGGGACTTATTGCTGCCACTCATACATGTAACTTTGTTGCTTCTTGATAATAAATAATAATCAATAAAAAGGTTATGTGACTAAAAAAGGTTGCTTGGTCTTATTACAATTTGGAGAAATGCAGTCCATTCTGGTTGACTGCCTCCTTCTCTATGGATGTTTGTACTCACGTGACCAATTCCCTGACTACCATTGCTATCCTGCCCTATTAGTGTACTTCAATTCTCACTTGCAAACAAAGTAATAGCATCATTTGCAAAGAACATGGTTTTGTGCCTTACTTTTGGCCAAGGCAGATAAAGTGGTCAAGATAAAGGATTATACTTTCTAAGGGTGCCTTCTGTGGCTACAAAATTAAGGTGAAGAAGTATAGAAACCTTCAAAAAAAAGAAGATCACTCTTGGATCTTAGATATCAGTTGTACGTGAAGAGTGTTTTGTTTCAGGAAGTGAAATTAAGAGCTGAGATAAATTTGATATTGAGCAGGTTCTGACATTGCTCTTTTCACCTTGTTCTTCTTTCTGTAATAACCCAACACGAGAGTCATTCATACGCTGGGAATGTGATGCCTTTGCCAAAACAAGAACCTCATTGGCAATGACCTGGCCTGAAACACTTATGAGAAAACCAGAGAACATTTGGTAGTGTACTTTTAGAAACATGTCTCCAAAACATGATAACACAAAATATCTGTTGATTCATGAGGTGCCAAACAGTTCAGCTTAAAGTCTTTCCCTTCAACTGTCACCGGATCAAATCCATTTGCACTATTTTCTGCAAATATGTCTTGTACTGGCAAATCCAGCTGCGTGGTATTTTCAGTGTTTTGTCTTGCTCTGTTTCACTCTTCTGTTGTGGTTTGGGGATCACAGTATTTTCCAGGTTTCTTTATCAATCAAAAGAGCTGTTTCTCCCATCTCATTAGAGTCATTCATTCTCATGTGACTGATATTCTTCTGAGAGATTCTGCACCGTGGTATCTTCTCCATCTGGAAGTTCTTCATCTGTTTCTCTATTGCTGAAAAGGCAGAAACTTGATGAAGTCCACATGCCAGTGTTGTCTTGAATCTTGGTAGATTTTGCTTCTTCTCTCAATGCTTTCTTTACCACAGTGTTGTAAGTGCAGTTGTTCTGTTTCAACATTGGAAGAGCGGAGGTGGTGAAGGAAAGGTCTTTGCTCTCCAAATTTTGTTTCCACAGGACCATCAAACGACTCAATCCAGTCCTCTCACTCAATTTCCCTTTGCCAAACTTCTTCTCCCAGCAAGAGGAAGTCACTAATGGACTTCAGATGAGCCTTCCAAAACTAGCATGTCTGCTGATGACATTTTTAGGTAGCACTGTGGTTCCCAACTTTGGTAAGGCTTTGCTCATGTTACTGATTTCTTTCTCTTACCTGGCAGTGCAGGTTTCAGCTGTTTTTCTTCCTGACATCTACTTTGCTTTGCAGATCTGCATTTCTTTTTAAATGTTCTTTTCTGTTGTTCCAGGTCTTATTGGTTATGTTAGCCAACTACTCTAGCAGCCTCTCAAACATCTCAGCTTGAGTTGATGAAGATGGAAGAGTTGTTTTTCTTCCTTTACTCTCCTTTCTTTTCCTTCTTACTTAAGTTGTTGATGTTCAGTTAGTGTCTTGTACTTTCCTTAGGTCTTGTAAGTAAGATCATGGCTTGGGTTTAAATGCCCATAACATCCCAGGCAACTATAATGTTCTACATGCTGATTTCTGTTTCGTTCTACCATAAACACACGATTTCTAGGTAACGAACAGTCTTTATTTGTAAACTAAGTGCGCTCTCATGTAGATATATGCGATCTAAAACCTTTTGCGATTAGATAACATCGACCGCTGTATCATGTGTCACCTGAGGTGCACGTGATCTCCGAGTGTGCTCTCGTTACATCCTTTCTTTCATAAGAAACAAAACGAAAACAACGGAACAATCAAAACAAACATGAGAAACAAAAAAATCAAAACCACTATCCAAAAGAATCAACTAGTCAAGTCCGGTAATGTCTTTGTCTCTCATGACACTGACTCAGGTTAACGAACAAAGTCTTTCAGATAGGACGGGGGCTTCGTTATTCGACCACTGCGAGTCTGGTTGCCTTTGGAAGCTTGCGATGTTAGATCAGTCGCAGGCTGCTCGATCGCTGGCTCCTGTGGCTTCGCTACTTCTGAGCTGGAGTGACCACTGGCGTTAGTTTCTTGTTCAATGTGTTTAGATGGCGAGGGAAGTTCTGTCTGCTTGGGCATCTGGGTTGTTGGCGTGTGAGACTCTTTTGTAGTTGCTTTCAGATGCCTTCTATTTCGTCTAAGGGCAGAGCCATCTTCTGTGAGGACTTTGTAGGATCGCATGTTCACCTGTTCCTGAACAGTGGCTTTCTTCCAGGGCGCCTTGGGGTTGCTTGTGGGCTGAATGCGCACTGAGTCTCCAGTTTTCAGTGGTGGCAAATCTCGAGCGTTTCTATTGTAGTAAAATGCCTGCTTGGTTCTTGTCTTCCATTTTTCTTCTTGGACATTTTCGGCGAGTTTGGGTTTAAGGAGCTTCTCGCTTGTTGGGAGTAGGGTCCTTGTTCGACGACTCATTAGTCATTGTGCTGGACTGCTTTTCATGCCTTCTGAGGGTGTGTTTCGGTGGTCGAGGATCGCGAGCCAAGGATCTGTTCCATCTTTGTTAGCCTTCTTAATAAGCCTTTTCACAGTCTTGACTGCGCTTTCCGCCATACCATTGGACTGCGAATGTCCGGGACTTGAGGTTAAATGATTGAATTCCCAATCTCGAGCAAATCTCCTGAATTCGTCCGAATCAAACTGTGGGCCATTGTCGGAAAACACAGTGTTCGGGATGCCATGCCTTGCAAAGTGTTGCTTCAATTTGTAAATAACAGCTTTAGATGTTGTACTGGACTCCAACCTATCGACTTCCCAGTAGTTGCTGTAGTAATCTACGGTCACGAGGTAATGTCGGTTGTTTGTCTCAAACAGATCATCACCAACCTTGGACCATGGCCGGTCAGGTACCTCATGTGGGTGGAGTGTTTCCTTCTGCTGGGAGATCTCAAAGGTTCGACAAGTTTCACACTGTCTGACAAAGTTCTTCACAGCTGTGTTCATTCCTGGCCAGAAAACGCTTTCTCTCGCGCGTCTCAAGCATCCTTCCACGCCAATATGTGATCGGTGGATTCTGGATAGGACTTCTGGTCTGAGGGATTTTGGAACTACACATCTGTCTCCTTTGAAGATAATTCCATCTTGCGCTGATAGCTCGTCACGAATGTTGAAGTATGGCGTGACGTCATTTGGGAGATCAATCTTGGTCTCAGGCCACCCTTCTCGAATGACTTTCTGAAGTGCTTGCATCGTGCTGTCTCGCAGACTTTCTTTACGGATATCGTCTAGGCTAGCTTTGCGGAGTGGCAGAAACTCGACCATATGTATTTCTTCAACTTCTTTGTCGATGGTTAGCACTTCATCGCGCGATGTGGTGTTGGGAAGGGGTGCTCTAGAGAGTGTGTCTGCCAGATACATGTGCTGGCCTGGCTTGAAACCAATTTCGAGGTTATACTTCTGCAGGCGAAGTAGCATTCGTTGTAGATGCTTGGGGGCGGCCACGAGAGGTTTGCGGTAAATAACTTCAAGTGGTTTATGGTCACTCTCAACAATCACTTTGCGACCATAAGTGTATTGGTTGAACTTCTCGGCTCCAAACACTATGGCTAGCAGTTCTTTCTCTATTTGCGCATAGTTGCGTTCTGTATCCGTCAGGGATCGCGATGCGTATGCCACTGGCTGACCATTTTGTAAAAGCGTAGCTCCAAGTCCAGTGTCCGAGGCGTCGCATTGAAGTACAGTCTCTTTGGCGGGATCAAAGTATCGGAGGACAGGTGCTTGGGAAGCTGCTTCTTTGATCTTCTTAAAGGCGCTCTCATGGACGTCGCTCCAGTGCCATTCTGCATCCTTGCGCGTTAGCTGTCAAAGAGGTTCGCAAATGTCTGCCAGCTTTTTTAAGAATCTCGTCAGGTAATTCGCTAGACCAACAAGCCGCTGTACACCTTTCACATCTGTTGGTCGCCTCATGCCTTTGATGGCGTCTATTTTGGATGGGTCTGGTTTTAGTCCATCTCTTGTTAACACATGACCAACGTAGGGGATTTCTGTCATCTTCAACTTGAACTTCTCCTTGTTCAGTTTCACTCCCTTTTCGCGGCACCTTTCAAGTAGAGTTAGCAGTTTTTTGTCGTGATCTTTCACTGCTTCTTGCACAGTGTCACCTTCACCCGAGATGAGGATGTCGTCTGCAACTGTGCGCACACCGGGAAGGCCTTCGATGGCTTGATCCAAACGATGTTGGAAATATTCCGGTGCGGGTGATATGCCAAATGGCATCTTCAGCCACCGGTACCGACCAAATGGAGTGCCAAACGTTGTTAGATAGCTTGAATCTTCATCTAACTCGACATGCCAAAACCCGTTTTTAACGTCACACACACTGAAGACTTTAGCTTTTGACAAGTCCGGCAGGAGATCGTCGATAACCGGAAGAGGGTAGTGGCTGCGTTTCAAAGCTTTATTTAGTGGCTGAGGGTCGATACACACGCAAAGCTTGCCGTTGGGCTTCTTAACAAGTACCAAGCTTGAGACCCAATCTGTTGGAGTGTCAACTGCTTTGATAACACCAAGTTCTTCGAGACGAGTGAGCTCTTGCTTTAACTTGGGTTTCATTGCCACTGGAATCCTTCTAACAGGCTGTTTCACTGGTTCAATGGTTGTGTCCAACTCTAAGTGAAGTTTCTTCTCAAATTTTCCTTCTCCAGTGAAAACGTCATGGAAATCTGCTGCTATTTGTTGCATCGTTAGGCCCATTGCTTCTGTCTTTTCTTGTACCAATGAGATATTCTCATAACGCACTTTGATTAATTTCATTTTCTGCACCGTTTTGGAACCCAACAGTGGCGTGCAGTCGTTATTGACAACAACAAACTCTGTTTCGCATTCTTCATCAACCTTGGGATTTACCAGATTAACACGACATTTACCAATGGTTTCCATTTTCGATCCGTTAAACATGCTGAGGACTTGTTTCGAATGCGCGATCGGGCACTCGTTCGGTAAATCGTTTTTGCTTATCACATTACAGGTGGCGCCACTGTCGACTTGAAAACGAACGGGATGACCTTTGATCTCCATTGTTGCGAAGATTTTCGATTTGATGGGTTGACTACTGACACTTTTGACACTTTGTTCTTCCAGATTTTCGGATGAAATCATGAAGCAGTACTCTTCATCGCTCGAATCCTGCGAAGTTTTTGCGTCTCGCACTCGGTGAATCCGTTCTTTTCTTCGTTGTCGCCCACCAAGTTTCTGTTTACATAGCTTGGCGAAGTGATTTGTTTTGCCGCATTTCGCACATTCTTTTCCGAACGCTGGGCATTTATCTCTTGATCTCTCGTGTTTTCTGCCGCAGTATTTGCAATTAACTAACTTAGGACTGGCGTCTCTGCCGTCTTTTTTCTCTTTGTGGTTGAGTGCGTTGACTTCTTCTCTTCCACTCATGACTTTCATTTGCGATGCAGTTGTTTCGGCTGATCGACATACATCGATACACTTCTGAAGATTTAATTTGGGCTCTTGTAGTAATTTCTTCCTAGTTCCCGTGTCACAAATTCCACAGACGATCCTATCACGAATTAATTCGTCGGTGAGTGGACCAAAAATGCACGTTTTCGCGAGAGTTTTGAGCGCTGTGAGATACGTGTCAAATGATTCGCCGCTTTCTTGTTTTCTATTATTGAAGCAGTATCGCTCGTAAATGACATTTGTTTGGCCAATGCAATGCCTCTCCATCAACTCCAGAACTGTATTCATTACGTTCTTGTCTTCTTCTTTTTCGAACGGAAGACCATTGTAGACTTCGAGGGCTTCGGTTCCAATGCAGGTAATGAAAGTAGCTACACGGTATTTATCTTCTTGCTGGTTAAGACGTGAGGCGATTTCGAACGAATCCCACACTTGCTTCCACTTCTTCCAGTTTTCTGAAATATTTCCTGCCAAATTCAATCGCGACGGAATTGGTAAATTGCTTTGTATTCCATAACATGGCGTCAGCGCTTGAACACTCGCTGAACCTTGAGGTGGTGTAGTTGTCATCGTGTCGAAGAGGCTACACTCCTGGTACCATGTTTCGTTCTACCATAAACACACGATTTCTAGGTAACGAACAGTCTTTATTTGTAAACTAAGTGCGCTCTCATGTAGATATATGTGATCTAAAACCTTTTGCGATTAGATAACATCGACCGCTGTATCATGTGTCACCTGAGGTGCACGTGATCTCCGAGTGTGCTCTCGTTACAATTTCTACATTCAAAGTTTACTGAAGAGTTATCTCCAGTCATGAACTGCATCTTGTATAAATCTTTTCCAAATTGAACTTGAACTTCATGTATCAGAATGATGATTGCTGTGTCATCTCTCCAACGAAAAAAGAGCAGATGAGCATAATTTGACTTAGACAAAAGGTCCTGCTAATCAGCCTAAACATCTTCAACTAAAATCTTTTTATGCTTTTGCTTGAATTCTTCATGTATTCTCTGTGTATCCTGACTGATTTCCTTCAGCTCTGTGTGTCTCATTTTCACCGAGGTCTTGTTAAAAAGCATCTTTTTTTGTGGTAGTAGTCTTTACAAAATAAAAATTACATGTTTTATGTTGCAAGGTAAAATGTCAACAGTAATAAAAAGGTAAAAAGTAGTTTAGAAATATTAAAAATTTTAAACCTACAGTGCTACCTTATATTTTAAAACTAAATAATGTTATAGAAATCTTCAATATGTTTGTGGTAACTTTAGGATAATTACATTGTTCTTCTAAAGTTGAATTTTGTCTCCCTTTTCTTGGGGATTGACTATCTAAGGGGATGGAGAGGTGACTTTGCCACTTAATTGCTTATTTTGTTTATCCTGTATATTCTAGAAGTTCATGTTTGTTCAACTTAAAGGTGGTCTTTGGTTTTTGATAAGCCTTCTTTTATGTCTTGAAAGAGTATTTTTCTCCCTTGCAAGTGAGATGTCTTCTGCTATATTTTGCTCTGTGCATTTAAATGCAATTTCTTTATCACTTTTTTGTCATTGGCTCTTCTATTTTAATTTTAATTTTCAACTCCCTCTTGGATGGGTCGCCCTAGTTTTGTATTTGGTCTCATTACAGGCATGGGAATTTCTCTTTTCTCTCCAATGATTGCTTCCTTGTAGCTCCTCTCACCTCAGTCTTGCATTTTCACAATCCTTCTGCTTCACTGTAGCATCAACTTATTTGCTCTTTCCTTTAATAAATGAATGAAAAAATCAGGAGTTATAAACAGAGGCATAGAACATGTGGATAAAAGCAGATTATACTAGGGTTGATGCTCTTATACACTCCAGGGTCTGTTGCAGCTGGTACAAAATCCCAGTGGTTGTTGAGCTTTTTTTCCTGTATAAAGGTAGGCCCCACATGCCCTCAAGTTTGTTATATATGCTGTTACCCACAGAAATAACTCTACTCTCCTATAAACTCAATTACCGTATCAAACAATGTGTAATATTCTAACTAAGATGTAACTCCAAAAGGCAATACAGTAATGATCCTCATTAAACTTACCTTAGCCCACTATAGACTATGAACTAGCTTACCTATCAGCAGTGAATGTTGACGTGCAATGTATAGCAAATGGGATTGTGAGTTAAACAAGTCTATTCTTGTTGTGTATCGGTGCAGCCTTCTTTGCAACAGTCGTAGCATATAATGTAATGCTTTGCTGCGTGCCAGATATCAAGTAAAACCTTTAATTGCATGGGAAAAGGTTGCCAGGGCTAAAGTTTCCAGGGACTAACTGCTTACATGTAAAAGTAGGTCAACTTATTTCTGAGAAAGACCATTAACTCTGGGTTAGTTCCAACCCTGGTTTAAGTTACCTAAACGAAAACAGTCTACAAAGAAAATACAGATTAATATTCATCAATTTAGTACAGGCAGGAATGTATGAGGAATCTACAAACCTGTTACCTGTTACCCATTATTGAAGAAAGAGAAAGGCTGCAATGAGATGAAGTGATAATTTGTGGAATGAAGAGGAATCTGAATTGTTTGTATGATGTAATTTCGGGTACAGTAAGAGAAATGCATGTATGAAGAGGATAAGTCAGAGTTGAACGAAACAGAATGAAATTTATTTTCAGATGAACATTTTAGTAGCAACATGTCTATCAAGCACTACAAAGCTAATGAAGATAAACTACTTTTTAAATGAATGATACAATATAAACATTGGGCCATTGAAAATAGGTGTGGGGGCTGGCTATACTACTGTGCAAGTACTTGTTATTGAGTAATATGATTTAAATTCACAATAATGAGCCATTTACACTATTGCCTATTTTTCTACAATAACCTGAAACCTTTCTGATGTCTCTTATTTGTGCACCTGAAGAAAACTTAAAAAGTATTCTGGTAGTTGCAGTATTATGACCCCATATTACAAACGGCAAATTGCAGTCTCCCCACTTTGTAATGGTTCCCCTGTTTAAAATGAAAGTTTTAAAGTTAGTAGTTTCTAATTTCAACTAAAACGAATAGTTTGTATAATATGATGGTCAAAATTATATTAAACACTGACAAATTATGACCTTCATTGTTTCTATGTTTTGTTCAGTGTGATCATGGGTGTAATGGAGACCTTCATGTGATGGCCAGAACTCAGTTGTGACTATAGGTCACAGTTGCTTTCACAGTTAGAAGCATCTCTGCGAGGTCTTCTTCTGTCAGCTGGCTAAATTCTTTGTCTTGACCTGACAGTTGTTCAGTTGGTAAATTTCATTTAGCACTATAAGCTTGTCATCAAAGATGGTCAGTGTTATGTCTCCATGATCAGATGTGACAAACTGTACCTTTGCAAGGGCTCTGGTTTTGCACTTTGTTTTAAGTTTTGCCATGCCATAATTGGAACACCAAATTATCTTGCTGCTATCACTGGAAGGCAAGGAGGAATTGCATTTGGTGCTACACAGATAGGTGGTGAGCTTTTCAACTGCTTCAGCTGGGCATGTGACTGTGTTGTGAGGGTTGTCATTCAAGATATCATCTTCTCTATGTACTTGAGCAGTTGAGGATTGGATGGATGTCTGCTCGTTGAGTGTTATGTACTTCTGCTTTTCATAGCTTTTGACATTTGCCTTACAGAACCTATAGATGTTTTCTGACTGTATTCTTTCAATGTCTTCTTGCCAAAGTGCTAATCTTGGATCCTGTTTTGTTGTGCATTCTTGCCTCCTCAGTGTCTTGCCATTTGCTGTGATGATGGTTGGATTTCAACTACTGTGACTTGCCCAGTGATGTTTACTTTACTTTTAGTAATCTTGCTGGCAATAATTTCTTGGATGCTGTCTGTATACTCTGTGTCTTCCTGCTCACGCTCTGGGATCTTGGTGAAGTCAAATGTGATTTCACTTTTATTAGGCTCTGATAGTTTGGTTCTTTTATTGATGTGCACTTTGTCTTTATTTGAGTATCTGTTGCATTTTACATGATAGTCACTTATTTTGATAGGTGAGGAGGGTTCTAACTTGACCTTCATGGAGGTATGTTTATCTGGGGAAAAACACACAGCCCTCATTGATTTGTCGCGTAGTTGAAGAATGCCATCAAAGTAGTGGTTGTTTTCTTGGTGTTTTGTGCTCAAATCTTTTATTGCACTCTAGTCGAATGGCATGTACACAAGATCATGTGACTTCTAACGAATACATTAGCATATCTGACATAATTAAGCGAGCATACATTAGTCAGGTAACATCCCCCTTCCTTTGGGATGACAACTTGAAAACAATAATCACAATAACATAATCAATGTTCCTTAATCAAAACGTCAAGTCCAGTTTCTAACAAATGTTCAGAGTCCTTAGTGCAAGTAGTCCTTAAGGTAGGCAGGTTCTCTGATGGTCCTTTTGGGGCGCTGTGCTACAGGAGCATGTACTACTTGCTGATTGGCCCCTGACTGGACCGATGCTTCCTGGGTGCTGTTGGCCCTAGCTTGAATCTTTTCCTGATTCTTGTTTGGAGTGTCTGACGGCGTCTGTTCAGAGGTTGTTGGACTGGTGGTGTCCGCTGTGGGGACCTCTGTGGTGTGGGCTGCTCGCGAAGGTCTGCCCTGTTCCTTCGGTAGGTCCCTTTCTCCGTCTCAACTTCATAGGAACGTTCGTCATGTCTTTTTGCCACCGTGGCCTGTTCCCATACTCTTTTTCCTAGTCGGAATGGTCTCATCCTGACCTGAGCTCCTTCTTCTAAGGGGGAAAGGTCACGCATTCCTCTGTTGTAATACAGAGCTTGCCTGCTTTGCCTGCATCTTCCTCTTTACTGTTTCAGCTGGTACACACTGCGGCTTTAGTAGCTCTTTGGTTGTCGGGAGTTGTGTCTTACAACGCCGGCCAAGTAACCGTTGGGCAGGACTGGTCCCCATTGACTCAGTAGGGGTGTTTCTATGCGCCAGTACTGCAAGGTAAAGGTCACCTTTGGTGTCTTTGGCCTTTCGCAGAAGTCGTTTTGCCTCTTTGACAGCTGCTTCTGCCTTGCCATTTGTCTGTTGGTGTCCAGGACTTCCTGGTTGGTGCTCAAAACCCCATTCCTTGGCAAAGTTACTGAATTTCTCGCAAGCAAATTGTGGGCCATTGTCACTTATGACGATGTCTGGTATGCCTTGTCTCGCAAAGTGGCATTTCAGCTTCTTTATGACAGTGCTGGCTGTTGTGTTAGGAAGGTGGTCGATTTCCCAGAAATTTGAGAAATAGTCAACAACGATCAGGTAGTCCTGGCCATTGATGGTGTACAAATCTGTACCAATCTTCTCCCATGGGCGTTCTGCAATTTCATGGCTCATCAAGGACTATCTCTGCTGCCTCACCTCATATTTGCTACACGTCTCGCATTGTGAGATGTACTCCTTTAGCTCGGCGGTCATGCTGGGCCAGTACATGCACTCCCTAGCTCTCCTCAAACAGCCATTTACGCCGATGTGTGAGCTGTGAAGGCGTTCTTTCATCTTTGGCCGCATCTGTTTCAGGATGAGGAGTCGCTCTCCTTTGAAGATAAGACCTTCATAGACGCTCATCTCGTCCCTGAAGCTGAAGTAGGGTGCAAGTACTGCTGGAAGTTCTTGCTTTTCCTCTGGCCAACCAATCTGGATGACTTCCTTTAACTGCTGCAACACATCATCATCACGGGTGCTGCTCCTAATCTCCTCCAGTCTTTCATCAGTCATTGGCAGTAGTTTGACTGCGTTTACACGTTCGAATTCCCCTTGGGTATTCTCAGTGGTGGGAAGAAATGCCCTGCTGAGGGTGTCTGCGAGGTACATCTCTGGACCTGGTTTGTAGACAATGGTCACGTCATACTTCTGAATCTTCAACAGCATCCCTTGTAATCTCTTGGGGGCGCTTCGGAGTGGCTTGTTGGAGATGGCTGCTAGCGGCTTATGATCACTCTGAACTGTCCTGAGCGACCGTAGACGTACTGGTCAAATTTCTGTAGCGCAAATACTACTGCCAGCATCTCCTTCTCAATCTGTGCATAACGTGTTTCTGGGTCTGTCAAGGCACGGCTTGCAAAGGCTATGGGTTGCCCATTCTGCATGAGGGCAGCCCCAAGTCCCTTTTCACTTGCGTCGCATTGCACTGTGAGTTCCTCACCAGGGTTGTAATACTTCAACAAGGGTGCCTCTGTCACAAGCTCTTTGACCTTCTCAAATGCTGCCTCGTGTTCATGTTGCCATTGCCATGGTACATCTTTACGTGTCAACAGCTGTATGGGTTCTAGCACCTCTGCCAGCTGTGGCAGAAATTTTGCAAGATAGTTCACGAACCCGCAGAATCGCCTGACAGCTTTGACATTGTCTGGCTTGGGCATGTTGTGTACGGCCTCAATCTTTTCTGGGTCAGGTCTCAGGCCATCTGCTGTGACCAGGTGTCCCATGTAGGGTATCTCTTTACATAGCAGCTTTAGTTTCTTCTTGTTGAGCTTCACTCCTTGCTCTCTGCACCGCTGTAAGAACTGCTGCAGCTTGTTGTTGTGGTCAGCGGTTGCCTCCTCATCTGTCTCCCCTACTCCATAGATGATCATGTCATCATGTACTGTCAGCAGGCCATCTAGTCAGTCAAGTGCTTGGTTCAGCCTCTTCTGGAATATCTCACTGGCCACACTGACTCCAAATGGAAGGCGTTTCCACCTGCTGTAGGGTGTGTCAAAAGTCATCAGCCTGCTCGACTCGTCATCCAGTTTTACATGCCAGTAGCCATCTCTGGCATCTATTTTTGTGAAAACTTTTGCTCATGCAAGGCTTGGGAGTACATCATCTATCACAGGCAGGGGGTATCTCTCTCTCTTCAGTGCTTTATTCAGTTGCTGCAGGTCTAAGCAAAGTCTCAGATCACCCGATTCCTTTGTTGCAATGACAAGGTTGCTCACCCAGTCAGTGGGCTCATCAACAGGCACCAGTACACCAATGTCTGTCAGTCTATCAAGCTCAGTTTTGAGCTTCGGTTTAATGGCGAATGGCACTCGTCGCGATGGTGCAATGGTGGGAGGCACAGAAGGGTTAACGTCAAGGTGCTGCAGTCCTTCAAGTGTCCCCAAATCGCCCTCAAATACGTCACGGTATTCTTCAATGATTTCTTGTGCTGTCTGGGACTTAGTATTTGCTACTTTCGCTGCAGCGATTTTCTCGAAATTCTCTTCGTGTACTTCAATAAGTCCCATCTGCTGTATCACTGCGGTGCCTAGCAGTGGTGTGAGATGATGATGAACTCTACGGAGTACTTCTTTTGATTCCTAGGATTGCGTATGGTCACGCGGCAGATTCCTTCAGGTTTAAGTTCAGTCTTATTCCACATCTGCAAAACACGTTTCGTTGGCTGGATATCTTTTTTGTTGATGTATTTACTTGGCAAAACATTTACGGTTGCACCGAAGTCGATCTGTGCGTATATTTCACGTTCCGAGACGCTGTTGACAGTTCCTGTCATCTCTGGTTTCAAGGTCACACAATACAGGAATTCTTCCTCGCTGGTTTCGTCTTCTTCAAATTCAACATTGTGTGTTTTCTCTCTTGCTCTGCACTGGGACGCGAAGTGTTTTTTTTTTCCACATGCTCCACAAATACGGCCCCAAGCAGTGCAATTGGTTCTGCCTTTACGATGTTTTCGCCCACAGAAATCACATGGCCTGTCGCTTGTGTTGTCATCGTTGGGTTTCCGGTTCGGATTATCTTGGACGTTTGCTTCGGGTATTTGCGCTCTGGTTTCTTCGGTCTCTCCATCTTCACCTTATGGACATCTTCAGGTTCCTGTGTAGTCTGATCCATATTCTTAAGCTGTGTGTTCGAGACTTCGTCGCTTTTCGCGATCTCGATGCACTTTTGCAAAGTTAGTTTGCCTTGACACAATAGGCGTTTGCGCGTTCCTCCATCACGTAGGCCAAGTACGATTCGGTCGCGGATGAGTGTGTCGTGTAAACACGTGCAGAAATTGCATGTTTGTGCAAGTGTCCGTAGTTCTCCTACGTAGTCATCTATGGATTCTCCTTCCTTTTGATCGCGGCTGTTGAAGACGTAACGCTCGTACGTTTCGTTCGTCTCACCGATCGCAAATTGTCAAATTGCTTGATTATCTCGGACAGCTTGCGCCGGTTTTCGTCGCTGAGGTCAAAGCTGTTGTAAATCTTGACCGCGTCGGGTCCTACTGAGTAAAGGAATAATGCCACTCTGTATTCCTCCGTCTGCTTGTTGAGCTCTGCTACAATGGAGTAGTTCTCCCATTGCTGTTTATAAAATTTCCAGTTTACAGCCTTGTCTTTCGCTGACAGTTTTAAGCCAGTGGGCGGTTGTATGCCCTGCATCATCAGCGGCGGGAAAATTTGCTGTGAGGGGTTTCACTCGAAGACGGCGGTGGATCAGGCATCTGTACGGTTTCAAGATTCGTTTCTGCATACTGAACAGATTCAGGGTTCTTTTCTGCGCTCGAACTCAAACGGTGTAAAGGTTTGATGAGCTTTCACGCTGCCACCATGTTTCGTGCTCAAATCTTTTATTGCACTCTAGTCGAATGGCATGTACACAAGATCATGTGACTTTTAACGAGTACATTAGCATATCTGACATAATTAAGTGAGCATACATTAGTCACGTAACACTTGGCTCCTTTTCAATGAGGACAAGTTATGCAGATAGCAAATGAGAGGTGTGCCAGGAAAATGAAATAAGAAAAGGATGATTGTAATGTCTAGTAAATTTAGAACAGGTAATTTGCTATTTGTAATAGCAAGAATGCTTCTTTTTGGGAGTTATCTTAGTCATTCATTTTGTGAACATTCCATTTGTCAACTGTTTACATATGAAAACAGTTTTTATATGTTAAACTTATTTTTGTTCCTTGGCGTTACTACTTACTTTGTTCCTCTTTGGTAAGAGTTTGCACAAGGGTACTGTTCCAAGGGAAAATGGTTCTCGGACGAATGATTGGATACGGAATCGTATAATCTTTATATTGTTTTATTTGATCTATAAGAAAGATACAAAATTGTTGAGAAACCTAATCTAATGCCAGCGATTCATGAAATTACACGGGAACTAACAATTCTCAATGCAATCGGTGACAAAACAAATTACTTACTTCTGTGGCAATATCCAATCAAACGTATTTCAATAACAGGTCAGCAGATCGAACAGTAATACACTACAGGTTAGCGACGTTCAACGTAAAGTCTGTAAGGTACAAAACACTTATGACCTCTGTCTCTGATTTCGCGTTACTTAAAACGTGTCCTAACTGAACGATCAAGTTACTTAGCTATTACGCCATTGACTGTCAATCATGCGGCTAATCAAACAATCAAATGTCAATAAACGGATTAAATATCAATCAACAAAACAGGTACTGCTGTTATCAGCCTGGCTACTGGGAAGTGTTTGTGAGGAAGCAGCCGTGTTAACGTTTCACGGACAAGCTACCGACAGGTTACCGACACATTACCAACAGTCGGCCGACTGTTGGTCCACTGTCGGCCGACAGGTAGCCTATATTTCGGGAAAAACCTGTCGGCCGACAGACGACCAACTGTCGGCCGACTGTTGACCGACAGTCGGCCGACAGGTTTTTTGGGGAGCTCTTCTTCACAATTACCCTCTGTCCATTACTGAATGATTCTGTATTGATTGAAAATGTTTGTTCATTTTGATACAGTTTCCTTTTTAGCTGTGATCCAACCTGGCATTTCTCTAATTTGCTGATCTGTGTAATTAACAGCATTGCAATGCCAATCATGGCAATTAATAATTAACAATGAAGAAGTGGTAATACCATGACTTGATGCAAAGAAAGATACTGCACGTGACAATTTACACGTTATGTTATCAACGGGTGACATAGGAATTGTTGCATTACATAATTATACAATCAGATACTGTTACATCCCCCATCTCTTTAACAAAACAATCTATAATGATTATGTATAAATGATATCAATAACTGATGATTGTGTTCATGCCTATTGTCAATGTTCATGTCTATATCATAATGTTGAGAATGTTCAGGTATCTAAACATCTAGTTTGTTAGGAGGTTTTGAAGTACGTCAAGATCTTTTCATGTAGGTTTGGCTGTCCTGAGGTGGGTAGTTGTGCTGTCTTGCAATGCTGCTGTCTCAGCAACAGGTGGTGGTGGGTCTTTGATGCTGTTGTTCTTTACTTCAGGTCTGGGGCTTCAGCTGTGATCGAGTGTGATGGTAGATGCCTTTGGTTCAATTGTTCTTAACAATAAAAGATCTTGGTTCTTTTGTAGGTTGGATGACTTTCCCTTGTTCCCATCTCTGGGTGTGGTGGTCATAGATGTTTTTAGGCTGAGCTGATTGGAATGGTTGTAGTGTCAGTCCAGCAGCTTTGTTGTAGTAGAATGCTGGTAACTTTTGTTGCTGATACAGTTCTTCCTTTGTCTTACTGGTGCTGTTGTTGCCACTTACATGCTTGGGCATTGGTAGAGTTGTCCATAGCTTGCAGTTGTTTAGTCGTTCAGCTGGTGATTTTAGGGTACTGCTGATAGGTGTCATATGATATGATAACAATCTGAGATAGGTTTCTTTCTTGGCAACCCTTGCTGAAATGACTGCATTTGTGGCAATAGTGGCATTCAGCACCACTGGCTGGGCACTTTTTGTCACTTGCGTGTGGTTCACTGCCACAACAATTGCAAAGTTTGTTGTGTCTTTGTTTATGGTTGGCTTCATTGTCTCTTTGACTTCCCTGCTTAGTCTTAGCATTCCTTCTGGGTCAGTGTAGTGAGTTGACCTGTATGTCTGCTTTGTTCAACATTGCTTGTAGTTGTAGCTTTGTAGCTTTGTCAGTATAAGAGATTTCTCTGGCTTTCTTGAGTGTGAGATAATTTCCTTTGGTGATACATTTCTTTTGCACATTGTCAGGATTAGTGCCAAATACGAGGGTGTCTCTTAGTAATTCATCTTGGAGTTCGGATGAGTAGCCACTGTTTTGGATTAGCAGCTTGGCTTCTGTTAAGAAATCATCAAGGGGTCGTCCGTTCTGTCTCAGGTTTCGAAGATAGAAGGGGTTAAGGATGTGATTTGACTGTGGTTTTATTTGTTCCTCGAATCGCTTCCAACATTCATCAAGCTTGTTTGTGTCTTCTTGGCTTAAATTCCATGTGTTGAATAAGTCGAGACCATAATCTCTGGTCCAAAGCAGTACGTATCTACATCTTTGTTTGGTTGAGCAGGGCTTAAGTACCTTTGTTTACATGGATAGATCTTTGGTTTTATCCATATCTCACTATCAGGGGGGCAAGGATTATAAGTTGACATCAAGGTATCTACATACTGGAAAATTTGTTGAGAGGCTTTTTTCCATCAGTAATCGTACAAATATCAGGAATTGATGTTTTGCCAGATGAATTTTCAGCTAAGAATCCTGTAAGTGCTTTGTCAGTTAGATCACACATGCCTGGATCACTTTTAAGCTTTGCTACACCATGGCAATGGATATATTTCCTCAAGCTTGATACTCATACCTGTACCAGTGCCACTGTGCTCTAAGACAATTATATAATCAACTTTTTAGAAATTGCTCTACACTTTTAGTAAAAGACCAATCTACTAAGTTAGGGTTATTTATAACATTCATTCCCCTTTCTTTAGAGTTAAGATCATTTATGTTGGAGCTAGAGAGTTGATGTAATTCAGGCCAATGCATATCTGCTGCAGACAAGGTGAAGAATATTGTTGGTGGTCCTCTATATGCTATAATTGACTTGAGATCCTGTTTTAATTTGTACCATTATACAGAGCTTCCAGCGATGTGTGCTACATATCTTGATATCTTTGTCATAAATAACTGTGATTTCTTTTCATTGACCATGTTTCTGAGCTCCTTTAATGTCAAATATGCTTGCCTAGGGTTTTGTTGAAAGAAAACAGCTGTTTGTTGCAGTGTTCATTTCCTTTGAATCATGTTCAGAGCCCAGTATGAAAACCCTAGGGTGTGAAGCAAACCTGAAGTAAAATTTTC